AGATGACAATTATGAATTTAGTCTGTGGCCCCAACAGCAGGAACGTCAATATCAATAAAAGTGAGCCAGTCCACTTTGTAAGGGGACAGACAGAATCACTTCTACATAGCAAAATCTCATGCTGTAATGAAGGCCCTTTTAGACAGCACACTGGCTGTGGGACAGGCCAAAAGCACATACTGTTCAAGATCTGTACAGTGGTCCACTTTATACATCCAAAGACAGCCACTAACACTGCTGCTCTTCCTTTTGAGGGAACAAAGGATAGGAGGCATGTTGGTCATCGGAGGGGATCTTGCCACCATCAAGAAATGCAGCAAAGAGGCAGCACCTTCTAAAAGTGCAATCATTTGGGCTCCGTCTGGGATGGTGGCAGTGCAATGGTCATTTTACGCTTGTATATGGGATGTAAAATGGGGGCCACCCCATAGTGTTCCTTCTCGTTGATGACCCAAATCCTTGGGGGCCTTGCACAGGCATGTGAGTATAATAGAACCTATTCACAAAATTAACCTGCAGCAATGGAGTCCCTGGTGTCGCTGAGGACAACACTGCCCTCAACAATCTAATCCCACACATGTATAACTGCTGGAGCTTGGGAGGGTTGAAACATTCTCCTTGAAGCCTGTCCAATTTCCTCCTCTGCCTTGCCCTCGGCACTCCAAGCCTTCATATTGTATTACTCCTCCTGTCACCTCTGCCTCACAGAAATGGAGGCAGTAGGTATAGCATTCTGCTGGCCCTGAGACAGCAGCAGCAAGAACTCATCTTTTACAATTTTGGTCCCCTCTTCAAAAGTTGCCAAAATGCTGAACATGTCTTGAATGAAGAGACAGTGACACAATGAAGAGGACCCCAGCTCCCTAGAGCCTGCCCTGGTACAAAAATCACCCAAATACGAATCGATGGCACACTCCTGCTGGTGCAGCCTCTGCAATATGGCATCATTGAGTTCCAATGCTGAGCATGGGGATTATTTGGGAAGATTGTGACAAGTGCCTTGGGAAGGATACTGCTGGAGACAGTGGAGTGGGTGTAGGAGAATTCTGCAGAGGATCATAGCTTCACTTGACCCTCCTACGCATGGCCCCAAATCTTCTTCCTTATTTGAAGTAGAGTATCCTAAGCCTTTGACCCCTGACCTCTTATGAGACTTCCTTCCCAGTCACTAGAAGCTGCCGATGTGGATGCAGGAATGCAGAAGGTATGGAGGAGAAGCGAGCTTTTTGCTGCCGAATTGTCTCATAAAGGTGAAGCTCCCACCTGACTCTCTGGTGCAGAGTCATGTGTTATCTCATGCATGTGGTACCCAAATGGCTTTTACATTTACCACAGACAATAGGTAAACTGCAGACCACAATGGTGCTGTCAGCAGCAGATATGATAAAAAAAATTGGCAAAGAACCAGGAGAAATGCTCCCACTCTTGGAACAAACTGCAAAGTTAAATCAAAGAATGAGATCCAGGCAATTGTGGAATTGTTGTGGAATCTTTGGAGAACACAGTAGCTATGCCATTTCTTGTCCAGACTCTTACCCCTCTTCAATTGCCTGTTTTGTGAAAGGGATGTGTTGCAACATTCTTAATCATATAAGCTATCATATAAGCTCTGAATTCAGGCCAATGATCCTTTTGTCCCACCCTTCCTGCTGGGAGAGAGAACTGCACTATCACTCTTACTGCAGAACAGTGGGATTATGTCTTGCACTTCTCCCATCACACTTGAATAGCCAGTAGGATGCAAGCTAAATACAAACTATTTAATGAGTGTTTCAGGGTACAGGGTTCCTTCATAAAATCCTCAAAACTCAGTAATGTCAACTTTGGAGTTAATTCAGCAGTCTTTCTCTTACACCTTTTGGGCCTTCCAAGGAGGAGATATAGATTGAAAGGATGGACAGCTTCCCTGAGCCATCAGGAGGAACATCTTCAGATGACATGGTTTTACTAGTGGGAATATACATTCTCCCAGGACTACAACACAGTTTTGTTGGCTGAGTTACCTTCCTCAAGCCCTGCTTAATTCTGACTCTTTTTGGACCACTTCTCTCCCTTTCCTCTTTCGTGGACTTCTGTTGACCAGATCTTTACTTTTGCTTTATTTGTCTAAGTGAAAAGTGGAAAAATAATTATGAGATTGATTTCACTGTGTGATACTATCATGCTTTGCACATCCAGAGTCAGATGACCGTCATTCGACTGCGTGTTTATGATTTATGGTCTTTTGCAACCTGTGATGTATCACGTTACATGTCTATACAAGAATAGACGTTTTGTCTATTCTTGTATGTGGGCTGACTCTGGGGGTAGATGTGAAGCTTGTACCTGTGGCACTAGATTGATTAGGGTGGCTGCTCACTCCATTCCTCTGCAAGCTGCCCCTACCCTTGGAGAAAATCCTCACTCACTGCTATTCTGCCTCTACCTCAGAACTTTCCTCAACTGCAATCAGTCACTTACGAATGATCTGCAACCTCTTCATCACTGGAGCATACAATTTAACAAGCTCTAGTTGCTAGATCCTTACTGCCTTTCACTGCTCCCAACCTGATGTCCCATCTCTCTCTGGTCATGGTGCTATCTTCCTCATTCTTAATATCTGAAATGAAAAATATTTGTGCATGACCAAGGTCATCCTCCTGCAGCAAGTTACTGATTTTATCATCAAATAATTCTGCTGATTTCTCATTGTCATGTTTTGGGGTTATGCTGGAATTAGCAGAAGGAGAGAAGGAAGAAGTGGATGCATTAGTAGCAGAAGCAAACTGGATACTTTGTGCCTGGAAGCAAAAAGAAGAGAAAAGCTTTGTCCTCTAATCCACCACTCCCTGTAAGTACTTTGGCTGTAGGACACAGTCATTTTGAAATAGAAAAGGCAGACACACTCCTCTTTTTTAAGACTGTGTGGCCTGACCATTATTTTGTCCTGCAGGACTTGCTCGCTCACTACTACTTCTGCGTGGAATGCCTCTGTCTCTGTCTACTTTAGGTCTACCTGACATTTTATTTAAATAAAGGGTAATTATTTTCTTAATGTAATGAGGCAATAGTGGGGTCAATATATGCTGCTTTGGTGCATACTACTTTAACACCCAAGTATGCAATGACATGATGCAAACAAAGGACAGCTTTGCCTGTGTCATCAACAAGTGTACACTGTACAACCTGAAATAAAAACATGGTCTGGCAACATAAAATAAAAATAAACCTCCCCCCAAAAAAAAACCACTGAAACAATAAAAGTCACACATAAATTGTTGTAACCGATCATAAAATATAAAAAATGCATAAACATAAAGTACTTTAGTGCTATATAGCACAGAATAGCACCATATAGCATATTATATAGTTTCTATACACAGACTGTCAATTCTCCCCAAACTATTTAAACACACAATGGCAAATGGTGCTGGGAACCCAATCTTTTTTAGTAAGGGGATTGGCTTATAACAAACCCCCACTTTATTGGCCCTTCTAAGCCAGCTGACGTAAGTTTAAAAACAAGGCAGTGTAATATAACCATATTCTTTATATATTATAAAGAATTCAATCTGTTGAATTTCCGCATTCATTTACAAGGACTGCAAACCTTGAACAAGCAGGGTCTGCCTCGTACCCATGGTGGCGGAAAACGTAAACCTCATTCCTACTACTGTATATCTAAGTAAGTAATTGAAACTGAGTGGAAGAGTTGTGGTTTAAATAATACCTAAATATAGTTAAAGTAGAAAGGAGATGGACAGCCCTCTCTTGGGTGCTAAAATTGTAGATCAGACATTCCTCTAGTTTTTGTTTTTTTTTCTTAGTAAATTAAAGAAGTTCAGCTAGTTATGTCCCTTGTTCATACAAAGAGTCAGAGAGAATTTTAATCATCATACCTCCATCTCTCTACAGAGATGTAAATTTTTCTCACACAGTATAAATAGATGGCTTTTGAATTTACAAGAATTACATTTATCTTTATGTTATCCTACTGTTCATATATGATCACACATTTGGACACATGCATGTAGGTAAGCACAGAATATCATCATTAAACTAAAATTCAAGTGTTCTTAACATCTTTTTTTTATACCACAAGCACAGACCATACAAATGCATAGTAGATATACTCTCAATTACATTTTCTAGGTCTGTGCTATGAAGTTGCATAATTTTAATCATCAGTATAACATTTAAAAGGGGATAATTTATTATACAGTGTATCACATGCAAATTGCATGCTTTAGCTCTATTTACTGACATAAAGCCCAAGAACCAAAGGAAATATAGTTGCTTTTATCAATTTGAATTCATCATATAAACAAACTAATACTTGAAATTTTTTCCCCTCTAAAGTATTGTAGATGCCTCAATAACTGATATTTGCCTAAATCTCACAAATTATGTTTCTAATAGTCTTTATTTAGATGTGTATTATGTTTAACCTAAATCAAAGATAAATGATGGTATGACTTTACATGGCCCGTTTGTTCAGTGCTTTTAAGTTACTGTCAATTTATAGAAATTTCTTTGATAGTTGCCCTCTGACCATCCACGGAGTTCTTTGCTAAAATACAAAGAAGAAAGATCCAGTAATCTACTTTTTCTATGGGTTTTTTTTCATTCCATGCAAGAACCTTAGAATAGGGCATTTGTTTTAAATATGTTATATTACAAAAACACTAGGAAAGGAGATCCTATTAAATAAAAGTGCACTAAATGTGGGCATGTCTTATCATTTGTATGGAGAGGCAAGGGCGGTAAAGTCCTATAACATATTGTAGACAGAAATGGTTCATACCATATCAGTTCCCCTTCCCCCCAAAAAAATACAGTTAGCTAAAGAAGCATTTTTAACTGAAATTATTTCAACGTCATGTGCAAAAAAAAAAGAAAATGCAGCTCTCTGGTCTTCTAATTTACTTTTTAAACATCAACTTTGACCCCTAACAACATTATGCAAATTTTTTAGATCCTTTTGAAGATTCTCTAAAATCACTCTGAGAATGAATTCAGAAAGCAAATCCAATGGAACAGTTTTCTTTATCCGAAGTCTATCTGACATCCCAGAGGCTCGCTGGCCGATATTTCTGATTTGCTTGCTTACTTATTTTAGCATCATGTTTGGGAACTTAACCATATTTACTATTATTTTAGGAAATCCTAATTTGCACACCCCCATGTATATATTTTTGATGAACCTTTCAGCTGCAGACATCATATATGCTTCAAATATTTTACCAAACATAATGAATATGTTGGTCACATTCTACGATGTTATTTCTTTTGCTGGATGCATGATCCAGATGTATTTCTACATAGCACTGACATGTACACAGGTACTTCTACTGGAGGTCATGGCTTATGATCGATATTTAGCAATCTGCCATCCACTGAAATATTTTTTATTGATGAGTTTAGTTCAGTGTACAGGACTTGCTACTCTGGCATGGACTTTTAGTTTTGTAATTACAATAGGGCATATTGTATTAATCTCTAAATTGTCCTTTTGTGGCAGGCGATTTATTAATCATTTTTACTGTGATATTGCCCCTATACTGAAGCTTGCTTGCAGCAGTACATTAGATGTCGAGATTATGAATTATATAGAAGGTGTTCTTATAACTTTTAATGCTTTCCTGTTAACCATAATATCTTACATATTTATTATATCCAACATTCTAAAGATTAAAACTTCTGAAGGTCAACATAAAGCTTTTTCTACTTGTTCCTCCCACCTAACCTGTGTTATTATTTTCTATGGGACATTATTTTGTTTGTACATGAGACCCACATCAAGCTATTCTCCAGAAAGGGACAAGTTTTTTGCTCTTTTGTCTGGTGTAATAATTCCTATATTAAACCCTATAATATATAGTTTGAAAAATCAGGAAATTAAAGTTGGGGCCAAAAATCTTAGGCGAAAAATAATGTATTAAAATGAACTCTGCTTATATACAGTATTTACTCTAAATACAATTCTAATCTCTTGAATCTCTTGCTTTTTAATTGTTTTGTTATTTTGTGCACTTGAGGAATACTTCTTCCTCTACACACTGCCTGTGCAGCTTTATTTACATTGATCAAGCAGCAGCCATTTTCCTGTAAATCCTAAATACAAGTTAATAGTAAGTACCCAGATGGAGACATTTTAGAGAACATTTTATGTCAAATTGGTGCTTGGCCCTCCGCTTCTTAATGCCGCCATGACCCTAATCCCTCTACAGTGGAACAAATCATCTATCCCGACCATTTTGGATTGGCTTCATAAAGTTGAATACTACAGAATAATGGAAGAATTGACATCCATTAAATATGATCAATATGAGAAATATGAAATCAAATGGCAACCATGGGGACTGTTCAAACAAACAATGAATACTCTTGTGATACCCTAATAACGATCCTAAATAGGAATACTGGTAATAGTACTTAGTATGTAAATATCACTATTATGCTTATCCTTTGTCACTACTTGGAAAGATCACAAGGGTGCTTCTTTTAATCCCTCCTTCATCTCTTTTGAAGATTGAAGAAAGGTGCTAAATATTAATTTTAATTTATAATTTAAATATTGTTTATACAATTGATCGCTCACACCCTCCCCCTCCCCCTTCTCCCTTTCTTTTTCCTATATTCATATCTTATTTACTTGTCCTATTTTCTTGATTTTTCGTATTTCTTTTTCTTTCTTTCTTTCTTTCTTTCTTTCTTTCTTTCTTTCTTTCTTTCTTTCTTTCTTTCTTTCTTTCTTTCTATTGAGTGGCTCCATTATATAGTTTGGCATTGTACCATTTTAGCTTTTCTACTTATGGAATATTGTTCTGTGTCAATGATAAAACGTTTAGATGTCAAATAATTTATGAACCTAAAGCGCCTTCCTTACCCGTAAACATTTGTTTATCTGTATAAAAGTATATATTCACATGCCACTTGATTGACTATGTAATATTTTCCTTTTTAAATCAATAAAAAAGTGAATAAGAAAAAAATTGGTGCTTGGCTTGGTTTAATGCATGATTTAACAGAATGGATGCTAACCTTAAGAAGACTGTACACAGTTGTTAATTGTCAATCCCCCCCTCTGCCCAACGCACACCTTGGAAACCTGAATTGTCAGCTCGGAAATAAAATATGAGCATCCCCAAATAGTGATGGATTTTAGTGCAATTATGCATTTTTGTAACAGTGATACCTGAAATGCTGCTATGAAGAGAGAATTTGGTTTTCAGCCTGCCTAGTTTAAACCCTTCTTGCCACCATCGACCCTACCCTACCACCACTGTAAATGAACACTCTAGCAAGTTTCTCATGTCTTGTCATAGTCAGCAGGCTTTGGAAATTGCTTTGAGCTTCCACAGCTCACTGCACAGTCCAGCTGGAGACCCTGCTTGATTGATCTGTAACTACTCTAAGTGATGACAAATGAAAGTTTGAACCCAAACTTTCCTACTGCATGTTACATTTTTCAGGTCTTTCTTGATGATACATCACCCAGGCCTGGCTGCTGGCAGCAGTCCCAGGCAGTGCATAACCCATATTATCAATGATTATATGGGGTCAAGGGTGGATCTGGACATCTGGACATCCTGACAATGCATGACCCACTTTCTCCTGGGTGTCAATGCTAGACCAGTGACCCAGACTTGCCTAGTATGCAATCAAGCTGCTGGGCTGCCATGTGGATAGTGTGCTTTCAGAACAGGCATTGAGTGCAGCAGTTTTTTTTGACAGAGTAAAGAATTCACCTTTCCCCAAACACTGGCTCACCTGTATAAAAATTAACAGTCCTGGATTAACACTGATTACCAATCCTCTGCAGCTGATGCAACCCATCAATTGTATTTACCAGAATCTGGCCCCTAAACCATTATAATACCATACAGTACTACTGTCAACTAACACCGCTGTTGGCCTGCCAGCATTATCATCTCCTGCCACCACAGCTGGTCTGGCACCATAAACATCTTTTGCCACTGCTGCTGGTCTGCTATCTTTTATCTCCTACCACTGATATATTGCTGGCTGTACAATATTTCTGTCTCTGGCATAATCCAATGCGATTTTTATTTCTAAATAAATGTGTCATTCATTCCTTAAACATAGCCTAGTAAAAGGGCATACATGTATTTGTGTAATATTTCTGCCTTTTGTCTCTGACAATCCAAGACAATTTTTATTTCTGGATAAAAAAGCCCTCATCATTTACTCTTCAAATGTGGCTTACTAAAAAGGCTTACATGTGTTTGTGTAATAGTTCTGCCTTGTGTCTCTAACATAGACCATCTATAATTGGATAGAAAATTGGCTCAAAACTGTATTCAGAGCCGAGAGTAGTGATTCATTATTCATACCCTGAATGGTCCAAAGTTATTGTAGTGTACCCCAAGGTCCAATTTTGGGACCCTTACTGTTTAACTTATTTTTAAATTATATACTGCAGAGTTTGGGATTAAAACTACAATTTGGGGGGGGGGGCGCTAGTGAGCAGCCAACCAAGATGGCCGCAATCTAACTTGGCTCCACTACACCCGGACACGAACTCCCCGCACTAGATACTTATTCGGTGCCCTGCTACCTATCCGACTAGTGGCACAACTCCCGGGACGGCTGGGGACCAGAGATGAGGAGGAATTACAACAATACTCGCAACCGTTCCTGTGGTGCAAACACACCGGCCTTGACGCGCTCTTCGGCCAAGATGGCGTCATCTCCTTCAGGGCTGAACTCACAGCCATCCTCACAGGAATCGATTGCGGACGCTGACCGCGCCTCAAATGCTAGTACATCCTCACCTGTACCGAGCCATCAACCGGAGCCGGCTTGTAGAGAATCTGATCTGCTAGATCGCTTCAAAGTCCTGCTCCAGAAGGAGTTGAGAACCGCCACTGACAAACTGTCACACAGCTCTCACGGGATATCAAAGAACTAGGTTCCAGGATCCATGATATCGAATATAAACTGGACGATGTGGTCACTATCGTGGAATCCCATGAACAGGATTTAGATTCCATCAAAACTGACCTTTCCGCCACTCTCCTTAAACTAGAAGACCTGGAGAACAGGAACAGACGCGGCAATATCCGCCTATGCGGTATCCCCGAACATGTGGAGGATTTGACTGCCACGGTCACGGCCATGTTCCAGGAGCTCCTCCCGCACTACCCGGTTGAGAGGCTTGAGATGGATCGGGTTCATAGGGCCCTAGGTGCCAAAAGACCGGAGGGACCTCCGCGAGACGTGATCCTTAAGCCGACCTTCTACAGAGCTAAGGAGGAAATCGTGAAGGCGGCCCGGGAACGCTGTGACCTCACGTTCCAGGGCTTCAAGTATCAGGTGTACTCAGATCTGGCTCCACAGACCCTACAGAAGAGGAAGGCCCTGAAGCCATACCTGAACTCCCTGATGCATCACTGCATCAAATACAAATGGGGTTTCCCCCTCAAGGCCCACTTTACCTACGATGGTCGCCAGCATTCATTTGCCACCCCAGAGGAAGCAGGCCCACTGCTGGAATCTCTACACCTGATTACGCCGGACATGATCAACACCCCATCGCAGACACCGCAGGCCCAACCGAGACGATGCCTACAACCGCTCTGGGAACGCGGCCCACGACCTCCCCGGGAGCGGGTTGGCAGCCGGCAACGATCCCCACACTCTCAGGAAGAACCCCACGGATGAAAGCTCTCCGTTGCCTACAGGATTTCTTCACAACTTGAAGCCGGTCGCGCTGATGTTACGGGGCCACCACGGACGTGAGGCCCGAATCTGAAACGGCCCCCACTTTCTTTCTCTCCCCCACCCTTCCTCTCTTCGGAATACCCTCGGGACCGTCGCCTGATCGAGGTCTCAGACTACCGGGTAATGTAACCGGTTACTCCTAAGTTTACCAAAGTTTATTTTCTGTTGGCCCTATTGGCCTGTTTAACTGTTTGACCTGAGCGGCCCTCTTGTCCACACTGAAGCTCTGGCCCGCCCCAGAGGACGTGTATTGGTCCTCCAGCCCCTGATCTGACTAACTTTCCACCGTATCGAGGATCTACAACGGAATCCTCATTCCCCCTGCCCAGATACCTCTGGGCGAACATATCAGTAACTCTTCAACATGCAGACCCTGGGGAATGATGGCGACCTCCCTGTTTCACACAGATTTGGCCTTTTACCCGCAGGTTACTCAGGGTGTTCTTACTAATGTTGTTTTATAATAACGATAGCCACATTGGGTCAGTATGATATTGTATTGGGTTCGCACTGTACAACCCCGGAGTTGCATTGTGACCTGCTGCCACACCGGGCAAGTACAGGCTTTTAGAACTTAGTACAG